TTCAATAGACATAGAGGGTGCGAATACTTACGGGACTGACTGTATATTTCTCTTTTTATACGGATAAAAGTTAGCATAAGTGGTTGACGAAAAATACAAAAACAATTTCTGTAAAACCTTGTGAGTATAGGAACGGGTCAGAGTGATCGTGTTCCGTAAGTAACAGGTCAAGTAAATCGTGTTCCGTAAAGTAATCTCCTCAGAAATTACTTGACATTACAAGCGTATGCTCAGCTCTTACCTGGACCACAGCGTCCCTCATCTTGTCCATCTCTGGCCGTATCCTGGGTTTCATGTCGACCGCCACTTCGCTGGTATCCGGTTTCGCCCAAGGTTCCCAAGCAACTGGCGGTGCTGGAGGCGCTTGGGGTCTGCGATTCGTGCCCTTCTCCCTATAGATCACTTTTTCCAGAGGGCCACCAGGCGTGGTTCCAGTCTTCACGTAGAGGACACGTACTCCGTGTATTATGAAGGGATCCCTGTCCCTGCTGCCGGTGTTCTCCATGATGGTCTCCGCCACTTGGTTGATAGAGCTGTTCATCGTCACGCAAGCGGACTCCCCAGGTTTATCGTATTTATCCAGCTCAGCGGTCCCAGAACGGAAACCTTCGTCGTCGCAGGCATAAGGATCCATGTAGTAATAGGTATCGTCGTGTTTCCAGATGGCATAGTAGATCCCCTTGATCTCGAGCAGCCCGCACACTTGGTTCTCGAAGAACTCGCGCATCCCGCTGTCGAAGTTGATCTTGCCCCTCTTCTGACCGTAACCAGGGACCACGTTCGTGCGAATCTTCACCTTGGCGGAGTACACGCCGAGAATCACGTCGCCCATGGCGTCGTCCAACTTCAGCTCGAACTCCTCGTCGTGCAGATCTTTGTCGAGGACGCGGACCAGATCGACGAAGTAGATGTTGGACTGGTTGAATATCAGGTCGATCAGGGCGCTGGTCCACTTGTTGCCATTCACCAGACGCGAGTAAACTAGAGCCGCTAGAGCTATGATCATGTGGGTTCGTCCACGAAGAAGCTCGGGGATCAACGGGTGCATCATGTGATAGGAGCCTTGTACCACGGCTCTATACTTGTCTTGCACTTTGTAACCGCTGGGTCGTCTCAGCGGTTTGCTGTAAGCGCTTTCCGTCACGTCGGTGTCGATGGGTTGAGTGTAATGATCCACGCCGCTGATGGCTATCGCGTGAAGAACGAATGGCTCGTTCTGAACGTTGCTCTTCTCGAGGATGATGAAGAGAACTCCTATCAAGTCCTTGACAAGGAACAGTTTCGCGGTTCCACTGACTCCATCAGGAGCTGGCTCGCAGTTCTCCATTCTGGCTTGGCCGTCGAATATGTTGTAGTACTTTGCATCCTTCCAGATGGCTATGTAGAGGACCGAGGAGCATAGAATCCCAGCGTTGTTGCGCTTGAAGAACAAATCCAAAGCTTTCACCAGGTGCAAATTCGTCGGCTCCGAGGAACGAAAAGTGCCTGCGTAAGCGGCGTCCTCGATGCTGACGTTCACGGTGAGTTTATGCTGAACACAAAGTGTTCTCTGTAGATCCAATATGGAGAGGAGCCGTCGATCATCGGTGTTTATTTCTTTGTAGGATTCGCAGTAGAACGTATCCCCGTCTTCGATGATCTGATCGATGACTGCCTCGTTCCAGCATCGAGACTTGTACACCGTGGTTGTCGCGAAGGCTGCTATCGCGGTTGCTCCACCCTGTTGTTTGAAACGGTAAGTAACAACGATTGACTTAACAAGCGCGGCTGCGAGCCTTTCGCGGCGACTATGATTACATCGTTCCGCGTACGCGAACCGGAGAAAATTGAAGGGTGCTCGGATGTTTTTCCTGGGTAGCATTCGAATTTTATAGATAATCACGGGTCGTGAAATTTTATCTCTCCGATTGAGGAACCTCAATAACCGTCGACCAATCGGGAGACTGATAATAAGCGGCGGCTTAGATTGCGCAAGTGCAGCGCTCTAAGTCGAGAGTAATTGGAGTATGTACTGTGTAGAACGGATCCCAGGATTAGGATGTCATCAGGATTGATTTCTGATGATTCGAGAACGTGTAAAGGTATGTAGATTTGCGCGATAGCCAAAAATAATAGAATAGAATACATTTATTTATTTTATAATATTTTTAATCATTTTTTAATAACTCTATTATATTGTAATTGTCTTATGATATAATATAATATATTATATAGTATAATATAACGTGCATTTTACTTGGCCATGGTCAATTTGTAAGCGATTTCTATGTTTAGTTTTCGCTATTTTCATAGTTTAAAATGATTTGAAAGTTCGTTTACCTGGTGCCCTCTGGACAGAGGTGAAAACTTAGGCATATTTATGTGAGTCAATCCTGAACGAACGCCATATCTAACGCACGCTGGTAGCTCTGGTCTGATTTCAGTCAGCGAGTAAGTATCGTTTGGCAGCTCGAGGAAGAAGTTTAAATCATTATACTGATCTTCGAGATCCTCGTCGAACTCGTCGCTGCTGGGAGCATTGTCATCAGCAGCTCGGACATCTTCGGTTACTCGACCAATAGCGTTCACAGTTTCAGACGAAACAACATCATCGCAATGGGCAAGTTGTATCAGCTTCTCTTTAAATAATTGCTTCTTATCCCGATCAATTTCAACTGGTAACTTTCCTTTGGTATCGATTTTACTCATTTTTAGTTTCACGTGACGTTAAATTAATTTGTGTCACTGATTAATTCGAATTTTATTCGTATAAAATAAGGTGTCATCGAATTTACAAACTTGCATGATTTAAAATTAACCCGTAATTTAACGTATAACCTATAGTTTTACCGAAAGACTTGTTTAAAATTCAACTGAATATTGTGCCCTCCTCCCTGTTATTTATTCTGATTCTTATATATCGTAGTGTAACAGATACTTTTCATTTGTACAAAGATTGTTTATATTTTCGCGTCACTTGAAATTTGAAAAAGTTTCATTGACTCGTCGAGAATGATAGAATGTACAGCCTGAAATACGGGTTAATTTACACGTAGGTATATTCGCATGATGTTCGCGCAAAAAACAATCGATAAAGATCACTTATCGTTTTTATAACGAAATTCATCCAACACAAAGTGTGACTGTTCAATTTTAACCCTCCAAAAAAATGTCAAACTTCAACATGTATTTAATATAGAAATGTAATTAACCAAAATTCATTAGCCATACATTCAAAATGTTAATACATAGAACAAGAAAACTCTTTCATTCATAGTCTATCCTACGCATTTACAATAACACATCACTATAGCCTTGCGATAATTTACTCCCCATATTGGAAAACATGCTACATCGTCCCGAATGCAGGAAGTACAGGCAATGGAAACTAGAGCGGTCAAAAAAATCGAGACAGGCTGTCAAAATGGAGAAGAAATTAAAACACAGAGACTCGATAACTGATTGCATAGAAGAGGACGAAACGAACAATATATCGGAGGATAAGCAGAAAATCGTTTCCCCTAAATGCAAAAAGAAAATTCGTATTAGTAGAAAACCGAGGACAACGGCATCGTACGTGCTTAAACGCGTTTCACTGACAGAGATAGTGCTCAAAAAGATTCAACCCTCGATAGAAGTCAGAGAACAACTTATTAATCCACGTCACGTGATTTGTCTGGATGATAGCGAGTTAGAAATAGATTTTCCACTGGAAATTCCAGAAACCACAAGTAAACTCTTAGAGAAATAATTGTGATTGTTCCATATTTATTTTATTCAACGTTCGTTTTATTTCTTTTCGATTCTTACAAGTCTCTCTATTGAAATACCTGTTCCTGTTACGAACTTTTACAGGAACTCCGTACCAGACGTACAGACCAAGATGGCGTCCGAAAGGACGGAAGAGAAGAAGACGAATTGTGAAGAAAACGGTAAAGGGTGACAAAAAGGAGCAGCCAGGCGAAGAAAGGGAGGAAGGCGAGCCTGAGGAACAGTTAACAGACGAAAAAGCGACGACAGGCGAGGCAGAGGAAAATGTTAAGGATAAAGGAGCGAGGAAGATATTGAGACGTAAAACGAAGAAAAAGAAGAAAAAGAAGAGAAAGAAGATAGTAGTGGATACGGACTCTGAAGAAGACAGCGAGTGCGACAGTATTTGCTCCTTCGACAGTCACGTGTGTCTTGCAGGTAATATTGTTGTTGTTTTTAACCAGTCGGTTGTGGCGTCCTCTTCTCAGAGCACGCACCTATGCGTGTCGTGAGAATCCAAATACGACAGGTATAATCGTCAAACACAGACTGATATTGGATCGCAAAGACAGCTATATATTCATGCCACTTATACTTCTGTTATTCAAATTAATATGTGAAACATACTCTTAAATAACCAATGATAACTACATTTTACGCATGACGAGTATAGTCGTCGATCACAGCTGACTGGTTACACGAAGAGCGCTTTGTATTCACGTTGAAAATTTATTCTATTTTTTGTTTCAATAAACAGTAACATTGTTTTATGAAATTTTTTCGTTTTAAAGACGAAACGACTTCGAGAAGTGTCTCTGACACTTCCCCTTGCAAATTCTAGTCGGCCAATTTTTAATATTTCTTGGATCCAAAGTGACTCTCAAGGTTCGCTCGTTTGTAGATTCAACGGTACCACCCTTTACATTGGTAACCAGTTCATCGCTACTATTCTTGAGACATGTATTATGCTTATCAGGCCTCAAGTTAACAGCCGAGGATAAGAATAAAATAAAAGAGTACCAACGTCAAGTTGAAGATGCAAATACCGAGGGAAATGTGGCTCCCACTGATTAGGGGAATCGAAATAACACGAGGAGCGTCGACAGGAAATTACGAATAACAAGCGCAACCGCGGATTCTGCATAAGCGAAATGGAAAAAGTAGCCAAGGTGACGCGAATCAGCTTAGAATAATTGATATTTATCAGCCACGTTATGTGTTCTTAATGTAGTATTTCTCAAGCTTTTTTCGGGCGAAATTTTTTACGCTCCAAGATGTCAATCGTCACGTTCAAAAACAATGCCCTAATGGAACGAACACGCACCGACGATCTACGTAAAAAGAATTGTTCCACGTAAAAGGCGTGTCCCATTTTCACATTGAAAAAGGAGTTTCAACTATTCCAACGATTGGCCCCCATTTGAGGATGAAAGGTGAGAACGAGTGACTGGACAACCTACACGGCCACTTCACGTTGAAAGAATGCTGATAATTGCTAATAAGTCGGTCGAGGTACAAGTACCTTGACAAATCTGTAAATGAGGTCCACGCTGACGCTTTTTATTTTATTTAGCTTATGACAATATAAAACTGTAGGTATTCGCAAGAAAGTATCGACAGGTCGACAAATCTAAAGTTTCCTGATGTTCAGTCTATTTATCGGACCTCTCCTTTGTTTATGAGTTAGTTTTCAAAACTATTTTGCCTATCATTCTCCTACCTATTATTTATTAGATCTCCAATATTTATTATTAATCGTTACTAAGATGTTCCTTCACACTAAATTGCTGAAAACGCCTAGGTTTACAAATTCAAGTTTTGCCGTTGCAATAAAAACTAATCGCTTCCTCGTCGGCCTTCTTTGAAAATTAAAAATATGGCTGGGACCAAAACGGTCCAATAAATATTGAGTTATAAGGTTTTGGGCGGTATTTATTTACCGCGAGGACCTGTTTTCTCGAACGATTAGATGTGGAGAACAGGTAAAGGTATGCCTAAGTCTCAGGTATCTTGAGCATTAAACTTAGAGAGGAAGAACTCGTCGATGGTTCGATTCAACTGGTGGAATGACCATCCAATGAACGACAGGTACCGCTTCGAAGCTCGTTTTACCACTCTGTTGTATCGAGTCTTTTTTTATTCTTGATTCCTTTTACAGTTTTTCTTATGCGTCTGTGGCTGTTCATTGCCAATGAATTTATGGATCTTTAATCGCTGTGGCGTAGGAGAATTTTCAAGTTCAAAAGGACACTGACTTCTTCGACTCCATAACACGTTGACTGTCATCGTGTTGGTTACAGGAGTTTAAAAATTGTTTGAAATTCAATATGTCGATTAGACTTCTCTTCCGCTTAATATTCTTGAAAATAACGCAGCAGTACCATTTCTACCATGAATCCGGCGTATTTTAGTTCCTTCGACGATTGCTTTACAAATTTTATATTTGAGGAAACGAGAGATTTTGAATTTTTACTTACAAATTGAAAACAACCGTCACCTTCTTTACTCAATTATTCGATACAAAGCAGCTGAACATTACTTCCATCTGTAAACTGAAGGAAAACAGCAGATTCCACGATTAAAATCTAACCTAAGACCTGCCAATACATAGTAGTCATCGTGATCAAGCATATCGACACCAAATTGAATTTAAATAAGCTGAACAACGTATGAAATGTAAGATTGCTAATCAAAGAATGATGAATCGAATTTTTCCTTTGCGATCAAATCAATCGTTTTCTTCTACATAATAAGTTGACTTCTCGCGTAACAAAAATGGCGTTTATTGCAGTGTTTACTAATCATTGTTGGTTCGTAATTTCCTCTGATATATTACATAACAAACTACCCTACAAGTATGATATGTAATAAATTACAACAATACAAAAGATACAATAAATCAGTAATAATTAGACTGCAGATCCATTATGCATTTATGGCGACATCAATATGAAAACATACAAAACCATGATATTCGAAATGGGTTATAATTAGTTTTCAGAAAAATTCATTTTTATAAATTACGTATTAAGTCTAAATCTAAATCTTTATCGCGATAAAGATGGCAAGGATAAGCGATTCTAGCTGCACGATCGATACTTAGCGTCATTTATTGAACACCCAGATGTCGTAGTCGATCGGGTTAGCTGTCACCGAGCGCGTTGTAGCGTATCGAATATTATGAAACAAGAACTTCTAATAAATTAAAGAAATGACATATCTGAGCAAGGTAGATAAGAAATCTCGCCAGTAGTAGTTAACTTGCTTACATCAATGACAGCCTGAAAAAGCGAAAGTTTGATCATTTAAGCCTCGCGTAGACGTTAAGATTCAATCTTAATAAATTGCTTTTGTATCAAGCGTTGAAAAAACGAATATGTTATACGATAAAATTAGTTTGATTTGATTTCTGACAATCCTTCGACAAATTTTTAAAGTTTGCCTTGTTTGTCTTATTATCTTCGGAACGCCATCGCACATAATTACTTGTGCACTAATCTAATCAAAACAAATGTCGCGCGACCGTGTCGAGCCATAGTAATTATTGCGACAAACTTGAATATCCAAGTAACAATCGAAGCTGAATAATCGTGCAGAGTATCGTGTATATTTATCGAACGTGACATATCAAACAGGTGATGGAAGTCAAAATGAATTTTCTCTATATTATTGGATTTACTTATCATTTGTATACATTTCCAATAATAATATCCTACTTGTCGTAATGAAGGATATTTGAAAAATGGTTTCAGGATTTTACAAAATACAATCGTCAGTGTAATGATACGTATTCTTTCATTTAAAATAAAAAAAGAATTCCATATATTGCGTATCATTTGTGTCTAACGAAAAAGAAAATCCCAAAAGCCCTTTTGGTATGCCCTCTATCATATCGAAGACTAGAGTCTGAAGTGTACATTTTATTTGTTGGCAATTTAACGTGCGAACGAACAATGGTTTTCACGAGCAACTTCATGCTCGTTGGGAGTAAACTTGGTGAGTTCCTACCCGCGCCGTACTCTAATAGATAAACAAGACATTACCGTCTTCTTACGAATGATCCGACTTCTTATCTGCTTGTACAGCAACTGCTGGTTATCACTCGACGATTTCAGACCCGTTCGAAAAAAAAGAGGGTTTACGATGAATCGAGTTGCTGCTCCCAGTGTGCGGACGGTCGTCGAAGAAGACGTCCGGAACTGCACTAATCATCGTTATAATAATTACATTTTGTTGATTTCTTGTAATTCTTCTCGTCATCGAACCGTCGGCGTCGTGACGAATATTTACGTTGCACCGAGGGTAGAAAACGTCAAAATGTTCTACTTCGCTAGGATACCCAAAGTGATCCGTAAGTAGAAGATTTTTTTATGTTTATTTTGTAGAAACGTAAACTATCATCTCAACCTGGTAGCATGATCGCTGTGATCTAAATAATTAATATTTCAGTCAGACTGAAAGCCTAGTATCTAGTCTTTCAAATTTTACGCAAGTTATTTAAAGTAATCTATTTTTTGGCAAAGTAAAATTTGTTTTCTTTGATAGTGGATCGATGCATTAGAACTCTACCGAACTGTCATTTAAATAATTAATATTCTAGTCTCAACAAGTAATTTTATAGATAAAAAGGGGGTCTATCGAATGACATGTAACACACGGTCAAGAAATTACTTTTCTCGTGTAACGTTCCATGGAAAGTAAAACAACACGAACATATGAATCAACCCCATTCAAAACGTGATTATTGTTTTGTATATGTTTTTTGAAATTTAAAGGAAACATAAACCTTGGAACTCAAAACTGTTTATCATTTGATTGTTTAATATACATCCTACATTTTTCTGACTTAAATTGTCTCCTTTGAGTAAAAATGTAATTCCTTAAATATTTCAAGTTATACCACCTCTAATAATTGTAATTAAATTGAACAAGTTCAATATTTATACGGCTTATAGTATCGTTACGAACGTTAATATTACATAATAGTGCAATAGAGACGTTAACCAAAAAATAGATTAAATAGTCTCATAAAAATGCTACTTTAAAGACTCTTAATAAGCAAAGTTTTTCTCACGATTCATTATATTCCATTAATATCAAACTACTTCCAATGCTTTTCGACAGTTATTACCATTAGGCATGGAAAGGCAATTAAAAAGCGATTTTCAATTGCACATTACGTAACATTTACCTATTGTTCGACATTAATCATCTTATAGCAAGAAATCGATTTAATTTTAATTGGTCCATTTCCGTTTGGCATAACCGTCTTTCTTTCTATCCATACAAAATTTTAAATCGCTACAGTGACAATCGTTTTACTCTCTGCACCGAACTCATGTTTAATCGTTGTCAGTGGTCAGTGATTTCGATATTAAAATTCATTAATGTTAATCCCTCGTTGGTGAATTGCTGATGTTGACAGAAAAACACCGGCGAAACTAATCGGAAACACACACTGTGCCAATTATCGTTTTTCAACAATAATATTTGGGTACGTAATTTCATTAGCATAGTCGCTTCGTTATTTGGCGTATGTGGTAATTGAAATGTTGAAAACCGTATTGCGCTTTGATAATGTCAGTGATAACGTAGAAGATTCGAAGCGGTTTGCCGTGTGAAACTGTTGAAAGCGCTGAAGGCTGATCAGTCAATCACATTTAGTTATATCGATAGTCACGCAAAGCTACTTATGAAGACGTTTACATGATTTCCAATGAGTACATGACGAATGTGTATGTATAATATACATTTTCTGGGCACGTTTACTCGGGCAGTTAATAAATTAGACGCTTATTTTCAAGGCCACAAATCTTGGTCTTCGTCCAGATAATTTGTATCAGCATAATTGCACTTATCTTTGATCACCACAGTAAGAGGCGGTCTGCTTTGTAGAGCGGTCTACTTTTAGAAGATCTACTTTCTTTTGATAAATACTTGAAGGTTATTTTCTTGTCACTTTGACGTAATGAACAGACGACGTAATTGTGGCTTCAGAATTCTTTTGATACTTTGACACAAACCAGGAGCTTCTTCCTTCTGTACATCCATTATTTTCTTTGCGTGCCATTTGT